AAACTTTAGGTCAGGATTGGAGGAGAAATAGAGGGTGTAGGCAGGTCCATAGTTTTATCCATGGACCTAACAAACTCAAGACGAGATGGCTGCTGAGCCTTAGTCGAAGAGCCCTAAACCAAATGGTAGGGGTTCTGACAGGTCACTATAGACTTAGGAGGCATTTAAGTTTAATAGGAATTGAGGAGGACCCTCTATGCTCGAAATGTGGAGAAGGGGAGGACACCCTTTTCTGTCTTCTGGGACATTATGCAGCCTTTGGGAGAATAAGACATAAAGTCCTTGGTACTGAAGAGCTGCAAGGGGTTGAGGTTAGAGACCTTCCATGGAACAAAATCCTGGCATTCATCGGAGCGTCGGGTAGGTTCGAGGAGGGTCAGAGGTGATGGGACGGCGGGGTAGGCAAAAAGGGCCCACTTGTGGCCAAATTGCCAGGCTGAGGCCGCCCCTTTTCACTACTACTACAATTGCCTTTTTATTTGCAGGACTGGATTTGGCACAAAAACTTGTCCTAGTCAGCTAAATATCATCCTTCTTCGTTGATCCAAACTGGAAAAACAAGCAATCAAAGTTAAGGGATTTTGAAGCACGCGCGTGTTCGTTGCAAGATGGCCCTGTAAACCAAAGCCTATAACTTGTGAGCAAAAACATATTAGAGTCTAATATTTTACTCAATTTAGTTTAGGACGAAGAGCTATTTCTATGCAAAATTTCATGAAGATATAGCGTTTGTTGGGACAGTTGAAATGGAATCACCCTTTTGCAGAATTTGCTCAGGACATTTCTTACAAATAAATATCATTGAACCTATGGTTATTATTTTTGGCAATAAAAAAAGAGATAATTATTTCACAGGCCAATTTTTTACACTGGAAACTGTCACTTTTGAAACGATCGCAGATAAAATAACTAATGGAAGACAGAATTAAAATAATGAATTATTCTCACCTGCTAGTAGGCCTATTCCGACTTTTGATATAACGACTACACTGTACTTCAACATGACTTTTTCTTTAGAACTTAGCATTGCCAGTTGAAGTACGCTGAGAAAACAAAAAACTCCAAGGACCGCTACTCCTATAGATGCTACCAGTCCTGCTACCCAAACCGCAACTGAAAAAAAAACATATACATATTTATATCATTATCTACTTCTTATTTCAGCCAATTGTGGAAACGTGAAATAACACTAATTTCAGTTTATTTCTTCTGGTGTTAAAACAATCAGATTCCGTCTTGTATACTATATTTCTTTAATTGAGTATATGATTGAAATTTACTTATTGAAGCCAGTTTTTGATCATCGATAATTTCATTAAATACATCAAATACTTGTTATATTCACATATCAAGATCTTGTCTTGGATATATGAGTGCATGACTATAAATAATTTTTATAGTTTTATCATTGAAGTATACAGATTAAAACAATATTCTTCAAACTTATTTTTTTTTTTAATTTATGCCATTTTCATTTCAAGTCTGGGAAATATTTGTTTCCTTAATGTCACATCAAAGAAAGCGGGGTAGGTTATTCAAACACTAAGTTAGTTTTCATTTTACTAGGGCGATCTTAAAATAAAAATTATAAATAACTTTTAGAAGTTAAAAAGTGAATATTGTTTTGTAAATACGAACGAAGGAAAATATCTTCCATATGTTTCATTAGAAAATGTAGTTTTAAATGGTCACCCAATAAAATATATAAACAGCTAAATTAGTATTATTCTTGATACATTGTAAATGAAAATTTTTTTTATTAATGCCAGATTTTCTTTAATAATGGATAAGTTAAATAAACGTATACCTAGAAACAAAATGTATTGAACTTTGACTGCCAGAAGCTTTTAGAAAACCGTATAACATTTCAGGTTGATTGAACTCAAGTTAAAACCATTAGAATCAAGTTACCCTTCACTTCTTGAGAGGCTTTTCTATAAAAAAGATTGGACTGAAGGCACTACAGGGTGATTTATAATAGAAGTGGAACTAGAATAAATACTTTATACAAATTTTTGAAATTTGTGGGTAAAACAGTTAAAAAAAATAAGATGTTCAGCCTGAATATAAAATATTGATTTCATGTGATTATTAATTTGAATAAGTGTATTTGCGATTTTACAACCGGCAGTTTCAGTGAAACCTCTTCATTCGTAGTTTAATCGAAAATAGCTACAGACAAAATTAATTTTCGTTCAAATCATGTACTGATATATCCTTCAAGACACTATTGATCCTTTCTTTTCATATAAACTTTTCTGTAAAAGGCAGGATTGTAAGCACCTTTCTTACGATGAATTTTAAAGTAAAATATTATAGCGCGATTTTATTAGACGTTCATACAAAAGAGAAAATTTGTTCAAAAAGTATGCTAGCAAAGTAAAAGATATCTAAACATATTTAAAGACAATACAGACAGATTTTTTTACTGCACACTTATATCTACAAAGCATCTTTAAGGAGAGAAAACTTCAGACAAATTATTTACAATGCGACATCGAGGAATACGAGACGTAAATGTGCTCAGAAATTGTAAGGCGTATTACGTGACTGTATACTTTTTTATAAATTTCCTCACATATTTGGATGAGATGAGCGTTGCATCTGGAATACATTGATACAAAAATTGTTAAACTACATTCAAAAGAGGACGTTATTCTTGCGATACGTAATATAGTGATATAGTAATATTGTGTTAGTAATAGCCATGTAACATTCTTTTATTATTACAACAAACAAATGTTCTACCATTACCTCGCGTATTTTTACTTTATAATAAAGGTAATTAATATAAATTTCAATTTTTTTTATTTTATCAAATAAAAACAAGTTCTTCGATATCGGAAATCTAGATATGCCAAATACATCTAACCACACAGAATAAAAGCAACCCAACTGACGTCACGCACCACCAATGTTAGTCCAGTATTTGCTGCAGCAGAAGAATATCTGGTGCACGCCAAACGCAGAAGAAGAATAACCTAAAACTGTTCAATATAGACTGTTCTGGAAGAATGCGGCACATACAATTTTATACGAAGAATTTACAAACGGCTCGTACTTCTCTATGTGCTGACTGCGAAAAATGGCGAGCCGGATTAAAGAATGAAATCACTGGGATCCGACATCTAGTAGTAAATAATTATTCAAAATAAAAAGTAAAAATGATATGTCTGAATAAAATGAATACAAAAACATATACTTCATATAATGAAATTATTCAAAAATGTAGTTATTGAAAGAAATATGGTATATTTTTGTTGTCTAACACTACTCTTAACAAAGTCCAACACCTAAAAAATAGCTGTTACACGAAGATCTTTTCGTTTTCACATTTTACTTGTTGGATTGTTTCATCACGTAGCCTCCTTGTAAATGGAAGTAAATAAACAAAGGAACTTCCGGAGGTTTCATTTTAACTTGCACACCATTTCTTACTTGTGATAGATGGAGTTGCCATATTTGGTAGCTGTTATAAACAACGCAATTAATAAAGATGCATTCCTTTAGGCAACGCTTAGAATTAATAAAAGTTCAATAGAAAAATGGTGAAAATTCCACGGAGAAAGTTCGAAAAATCTGTATCAGTTTTGGTTGCAGAAATGCGCCTTCTTGTACAGCAATTGTGATTTTAGTGATTAAATTTGAACGCATAGGGCAGATTACTGATGTTAAGAACTCAACTCAAAAATATTGCTATTATGTCTATAAGTGAAAATATGGTCCATCCATTGAAAAACTCTGGCAACAATGCAGCATGCACCATATTTTGCACAAAGATCCAGGTCCAACGCTGCAGAGATGTTAAAAATGCAAGAGGTTGACACTGGCTTTTTCAAGAAAATCATTTTTAGCGAATAGACCCATTTTAGTGTTCCGAAAACCCAAGAGTGATTGTCAGACAACCTCTCCATCCACAACAAGTGACAGTTTTGTGCGAAATCTGGTTGACTTTTTGGGCCTACGATTGAAATACTGAACACGGAAAATGTTTAATTTCATCAGAATAGGGCTATTTGCCATATAAGTCGTGAAACCATAGTCACATTACGTGTGCTGTTTCCTGTCCGTGTCATTTTGCGTCACGGAGATATCGATTAGCAGCTTAGATAATATATTTATTTCATAGATTTCTTTCTGAGGGAGAAAGGACAAAGACAAAGGAAAAGGACAAGGACAAGGACAAGGACAAGGACAAGGACAAGTACAAAAAAGGACAAAGTGTACGCTAATGCTTCAGGAACAATTGAAGCGCTCAAACTCAATATTCGAACTAGCGATATAGGCCTGATTATGTGGAAAAGTAATGGAAAATTTCTTATAAAGAATTGGAATTTGCAATAGAAGTAGAGGCGGCTATTTGGAAGATATTGTCTTTTATATTCAACCTCATGATCTATATTTTGTGTTGGAATAAAAATATCACTATGAAAAATAAAAATTACTTGCTTTCTTATACATTTGAAGCTTCTTAATAGAAGACCCGTCTAATCTAGCTGCTCTGTGTTGTCTAATTTATTTGACCTTCATTTGGTTATAATTTTCATATTCATTACTTTTTTTTGTAATAGTTTAAGTAATAGAATTAAGAAATAAGTAACTCATTTTGCAACTGGAAAAGTATATTTTCTTGTCAACTAAACTGTGAAGTTCAAGCTTTCGTGCAAGTTATCAATGGTTGAATAATTTTAGGACTTATAAGTCAAAATTCCAGGTAATTCTGTACGCTCGTCTCGGAGTTGGTTTTTGCCCAAAGCCGTAGTGCTTTTTCAGTGTCCAATTTTTTAAAATCTGACAAAAAATTGTTAGCGAATTTTCAATTTAAAATTTGACTACGCCACTGGATTCTGCATCTCAGTGTGGTTTATACCAAACTTCGTGAAAAAATATTCACTGTTCATTCTAAAATAATGGGATAATAAATAAATTTAATAAACCAATAAAACGCTCACTAATATGTGTTTTTATTAAACTGACAGTTTCAGATCAAAAAATTAAAAATTAAAATTTAAGATTATGGTTCAATTTCTGTCTATGTGTTTACTCTTTTATTTCCATTATTTCTATGTTTTTTTGTTAGTCGTAATTATAACTGGTTCATCCATTAAAATTAAAAATTATTGTTTAATTTGGAATTGCACATTGAAGAAGAATATATTAGTGAATAGTGTATTTACATTGTGAGGGTACAAAATTCAGTCGTGTAGCCACATTTTAAATAAAAAAATCGCTAACCCATTTTTGTGAAATTTGTAAACTGAAAAAAAAATAAATGTAGGCTATGATAACTGTAAATAAATTTATATCATATGTATATTCATAGACCTTTTTAAAATCAATTTAAATAAAAAACTAATTGAATCGCAACAATGAAGCACAAATTATGTGGAGCAATCTGTCTCTGCTGTATGTAGTACTTATTGTGAAAATCATCTTTTTAGCTTCGAATTTACGTTGACGTTGGTTGACATAATTAAATTTATAGACACGTAAAAAATATTATCGGATAAAAAAATTCCAAAAGTAGACGCATTTAATGAAATATTTAGGTTGACGCGGTATTTGTTCAAGAAACCGTTTGTATGTTTTTAACGATTTCAACTCAAGGTCCTGAAATTCGGCGTTCGCCCTTGTTTGCTGTTTCAGAAGCTCAAGATTAACATGTTATTCTAGAAACTAAATTAGTTAAAGCCATATGTGAGGATGTGAGATACAGCTCTCGTATCCTTAGATTTAGTAACACCACAGGTTTTATTCTGTATTTGAAATTGATTTATCCGAACTTTCACGTTAGATGTTTTGTTTGACCTACATATCAGGATTCTGTTACATACGAGTATGTATACCTAGAAGAAAATTCTCGGTTAGGTGGATAATAAGAAAATTCAGACAAGCTTGTAGGAATATTATCTAAAGTTATTTATTCGTGGCATAATTTTAGTTTTTTCTTTATTTGGGCAATTTGCCACCTGTGAAAAATAAAAAAATAATTGATTCTCATTTAAAAAAAAGATCAATTTCAGTATAGGATTTTTGACTAAGTAAATATAGTTTTAAAAAGTAACTCTTAACTGATCATTCTGGTGCACGAGTTTGTTTAATTAATTGTATTA